TCATCACACACATACATACAGCACTAACATAGAGCTGGGCTCTATGAAATGAAGAGCTCCAAGCCAGGCTTAGCTGAAGATTAGACCTTGCCCAGGCTGGTGTCCAAAGGGGAGAGAAAGGGGCAGGGTTTGCCCACAGCCTTTCCCCTCCAGATGGATGAGGGGCCAGATTGCTCAGCACTGCCCTCTCTCTCTCTCCATTCGGGACACTCCTCTGGCCTCAACAGACCCTGGGCCCTCAAGGGCCTTCCTTTGCACTAGTCATCTGGCTTGGGCTTCCCCAACTTCTGGGGGAAATTTGGAGATCCCAAGACACTGGGAACCTGGAAGGCAGGGCCTGGCAGACCTAGGAACTTTGGGGCTTTTTCTGAATCTAGGGAAGTAGCATTTTTTTTTCTTCATTTAAGCCAGGGGTAGTGATTTATGCCATGAACTCCACACCCTCAGGACAGCCCCAAGGAAGCCCCTTCCCTTCTCCTCCTCCCCAGCTCAAGCTCAGGGGTACAACTGGAAGCCAGGATGTCTGACATCTCCTGCCCGCTCTGGCCTGTTGGTCCTGACTCAGTTCCTGTCTTAGGTACCTCCCTTTGCCTCCAGGCTTCCATTTCCCAAGTCTAGGAGCTCAGGCGGGCAGGAAGCAGCAGGCCCTGGGAGGACACAGAGCCCCACAGACAGCTCCCTGAGTCAGCAGACAAGAGCTGGGGATGCAGCCCAACAGGGCTCTCTCTGTTTTTTTTTTTTTTTTTTTTTTTTTTAGAGACAGGGACTCTGTTACCCTCGGTAGAGTACCGTGACATCACAGCTCACAGCAACCTCCAGCTCTTGAGCTTAGGCGATTCTCTTGCTTTAGCCTCCAAAGCAGCTGGGACTACAGGTGCCCACCACAATGCCCGGCTATTTTTTTGTTGCAGTTTGGCCAGGGCTGGAATCGAACCCACCACCCTTGGTATATAGGGCTGGCACCCTACTCACTGAGCCACAGATACTGTCCCCAACAGGGCTTTTTTAATACTACCTGTCAACCCCCCACCCGCTATAGAGATTCCATCCTACCAGCAGGCTCAAGGCCTCTCAGCCTATAGGCAACCAATCCTTCTTAGCTGATAATAACAGGCTTTGGAGGGTTGTGACACAGAGAAGGAAGCAAACAGTTACTATCTATCTCCACTAAAACAGAGGACTGGGCTCTGATAGCAAATTAGATTCCAGAAAGGACTTCCTAAGAA